GTGGAATGGAGTTGAGAGATCTTAACGCTCATCTCTGAGAAGTGATATCATGTTTGTATTATTTTGAATGAATCTGTTGCTGGTTTTATTAAGATTAATGGTGTTATTATTGCGTTGCCTTTTTCAGCTTCGTCACAATCAGAACCAGAAGGAACTGCAACCAACACTGTCAGTCAGTTGTCGTCAGGCAAACGCACCAATGCGGTGACAACTAGTAGATTAAACACACTGCAAGCAAAATCACTGAAGCGATTGAAAAACAAGACTGTTGGTGTTAAACTTCCGGGCGGAGCGGCTGTAAAAGCGGATCGAACGTCAAAGTTAGTCGCAACTGTTTTTGTTTTCGACGATAAGTAACTTCGTGCAGTCTGCTGGTAATTCTCAATAGGCGATGAATTGGTGGTATCGTAATGGTGTGGTGATCGTTCATTTTAAGTGAACCAAAACAGCCTGAAGCGTTTGATTTTCTGCTAGGCAGGAAGCGTGTTTTCTAGAATTGAATTAGTATTTAACCGGTTGTTTGTTATGCTTTCGAACAACCGAAATTTTTCTGTGAAAATGAATTTTCAACGATTGTGAGGGTGTAGAATGAATAACTTTGAAGTGATCATTTAAATTCACAGATGGGAGAAGGTAGCGATGAAGAGTCGTGCGCTGTTTCTGAAGAATCGAAGTCAAAAGATGCTGAAAGAACGTCTCAGCAAATATCGTTTGGTGAGTCCTCGATTGAATACGAGCGCTCTGGATGATCCGATGACATCCGACACGACGATAAGAACGCTTGCGATCACAAGGAAAACGTCCTCAGTTGCACGTCGTCTAGCAGATTTGAATCGATCACAGAATAAGGCCGTCACTAGTGAGTTGTTATTGTTAAGAGCTTGTGTTTTTCTACTCACATCGTTGATTGTGATCAAGCTTTAGACCAATCTTGCTTCAGTGAGTACAAGGAAATTTCAAACGCTCCCACTCAATTTCATAGAAATTCAAGCACTTGAGAAACTGTTTAAGAAAATAGTTATTGAATTGTATTAAAGATTAAATTCCATTGAATCTTTTTTGCGGTCAGCGGTCTCTTTCGGCTGTTTCGTCGAGTACTGATAGGTGCCAAATAACTGTGATTATCATTGGAAATGGGGATATG